GAATATTTGGACGTTGATGCTTGCAAATTATCTCACTATGATTGTTGTTATCCATTCAAACAAATGCAATTATCATATGTTTATTACAACCTTCATCGATCCTATATGTTTTTCTGATTATAAATGTAAATTTTCATTTTTAATATTTTATTATGCATTGATCAAGTTTTCATCATGGTTACTAATATTCGTTGATCAATTTACTAAATAAACAATTATTATTCATCGTTGAGAATCATTACTAAAACATAATATATAATTGATATTTTTTATTTAACTTTTATTGATCAATTGATATAGAAAATTATGTTCAATAACTCAGATAATTACATTTCTATGCTAGACTTTACCCAGTAATGATATTTGTAGTACATTTCGAAATAATTTTAGTCTTTCTTTTATTTGGATCTTAGCTGAAATGTAATTAGATTCAATTAACGAACCATTTGTTTCGTGAAACAGAGTTAAGTTGATTACTTAATTTTGACTAAAGCAAAATCAATTAAATTTTTATTGATATCAGAACTGAATTTTGTCTATCTATGACTAAAATATTCCAGAGAGCTTGCTAATATTCATGAGAGAATATAAGTGTTATAATGTAAAAAAAGAAAATAATGGAATTTCTTAATGCTTGGCGACGCCACCCTTTTTATTATCTTCAATATCAATGCTATGATGATGTAGAAATTGTAACAAGAATAAATGAATATTATACTTTTAATTTATGTTTGAAATTTTAACAGAAAATTATATCTACTTATATTTATTAAGTGTCGTTTAAATTGATAAATATACGATTATGTTGTGTATTTTGTAAAGATATTCATAGGAAATTGTTGAATGATAGAAAACATTTGTTTCTTTTTGTCGTGCACAAAATTATTTTCAAATTATTTTTTTTTAATATAAAATATTTATTTTTATTAAATTAATGTATACCAGATTTCAATTTAATCATAATATCGTGTAATTATGTATCTTTATCAATTACTCTTTAATAGCTGTCTTGTTGGATCAGTACTTTCTCATCATCTTAATTATATAAATATATTGTGTTGTCTGATTTGTCATTTCAACAAACGCATGCATCAATCATATTTTTGTCTCATACATCATTACATATCATGCGAAAGTATCAGGGGATTACACAACCTAAAGCTTAGAAATATAGCATAATCTCTGTCTAGCAAAAACAGGAAAATATTTTTATGAAATTTTGATAAATATTTCTAGTACTTGCTTAATTCGTTAATATCTAGTCTCCTGCACTCCCTCCTCAACCGGAAATTCCTGTCTTTTGAATAAATTCTGTAATACATTCTTGAAATTCTGACTTGAGAAAAGGTATACAAAACAATTAAAATATTATAAAAAAAAAAGAAGATAATTATATTAATATCAAGTAAGAAAAAGTTCATTCTTTTTTTTTGTGAAGCACGATCTAAAAGGAGTGTTGAAGTATATAGCATAGAGATTTTCTTATACTCTCAACCTCCATAGACCATGACAAACACGTTAGAAACGGCTTGTCACAGATATCTTAGCAGCGGACACACCACAAACGTGACAGATACCTTAGCAACAGTTTCCATCTAGCATCACGTTATGATAGACTTTGTTCATATATAATAACAACTTGTTATAATATATGAACTACTTTGTTATTGCATATCTGTAAGATTATGTAAAGAAAAATATCACAGAATAGATAAACTTCCTATGATTAGCAATGACGACTGCATCGTGTTTTACATTTTAATCCCATAGAGATTGCGCTAACAGCTTTTATATTCTGGTTGCTAAAAATATCGATTATTGATTTATTATGCTCATAATAAGTATTTATTTAAAAATGACAATAAATCTCATTGATATTTTTAAAAAAAGCATTCGAATCCTATTTATACATGTATATATATATTTACAGGTTAATAACAACGAAATATAATCATCTATTAACAAAATATGAATATAATTATATGAGAAAACCAAGCTTAATTCAAAATATTTTTCTCAGAAAATAAATTCATCGAAAGACTTATGAACATTACACGCTTGTAGAAAAATAAAATGAGTTAATTATCACATTAATAACATTGTTTCTGAACATATTTATAATTATTTGGTTTTAAATCATTTGTAATTTATGATACTGAACATTAATAGAGAATATTTTAAAGTGATTCTCAAGCTTCAAACATTTCTCAAAATCTTAACAATAAAAAAAACAAATTTTTTGTCCGCTGTTTTTCATAAATATCTATCTTTACAATATACATGTGAACGAAAGAAATGGTTACGATAATAAACAAAGATAACGATAAAAGATATTAGTTTTCATTGTTGTATTTTTTTTTTTTTTTATTAATCATAGATATCTATTCTTTTCCATGAATATCAGTTTCTTTTTCAATCATACAAAATAATTTTTTGTTTTCATTCATTAAACTGTCATTTTTATTAATATGAAAAAAATAATACATTTAAAAATAAAACAAAACAAAAAATTTCACTAATTCATTTTTATTATTATCTATTTATAATTTAATAAGAATATTTGGTATTAAACCACCTTTATAATCTTTATATGGACATATGAGTTCATCATTGTTCTTTTTCCAAATCCATGTTGTTGGATCAATAATTGTTACTTCTTTTCCGCTCATTTTATTTAAAAAAATATGTCGTGTTGCATCATTTGTTACTTGAACAAGTACATATTGAAATCCTTTTTTATTACGTGCATGATCACATACTGCTTTGACCATTTGATGTCCTAAACCTTTACCTGAATGTTGCATACGAATTGCACATATTTCTATATGTAAAACCATATTAAGTTTTAATTCTTGTCTAAAATCACGTGATATAAATAAATTATCCATTTCAACGAGTAAATTATCAAGAGGAATAGCATGTAATCGGTTTGAAGTATCGCATAATTGTCGTTTCTCGTGTTGTAAATATAAATCACCGGCAATTAAAGCTCCAATAATTTCACCTGTAGAACGATGTCGCACAAGAAATGACAAATATTCAGGAAACATATCTTTCATTAAGGGCCATGAAGTTTCATGAAAAAAACAGGTTGGTGTTATTTGATCGAAATACGTCATAGGATTGTGTGCAGAAAATTCTTCAGCAATAAGTTGTGCACAATGACGTGCATCTGTTTCATTGTCAATAATTTCATATGCATACTCATTTTCAGTCATGTTAGCATATGTTAGCAAGGAAAAAGAAAAAAAAAACTGGAAAGCAAAAATCCACTAATGTTCTTTTTTCTATATTTATACGAGTATTGCAGTGTCGTTCTTTTTCTTTTCTTTTCTTTCTTTCGTTCTATTGGTATTTGGTTTATGGCTTTTTGCCGTGTTTATCATTTACATGAGATCCCATTTACATTTTAACATAAAAGAAAATGTATATTTATAAAGCCATTCAATGTTCTCTACTATAAAAATGAGTAAATATTGATATGATATAACTTGCTTTAGAAAAAAGTTAACAGAAGTTAGATACGAGAATTGTTTATATGAAACGGAAATTTATTTTTTAATTAATCATATTTTCCATAGAGTTTTTGAAGATACATTATTTTTAATTTTTCTTGTTGAAAAAGAAAAAATGCAAACTATGTAATTTATCCTGATATTATCAGAATGAATCAAAATATTGCCATATTTCGATGTAAATATTTTACTTTACTGTGATTGATATACATTCAAAAAACAAAAATCAGCAAAACATAATCAAAACAATAATTATTCATCGTCTCTCTTGTGTTAAGTAGCAAGTTTTACAAAAACAATCTATTATATTAAATAGACAAGTCAGATTGATCGATAATCTAAATGACTATGGAATAATAGATAAGATCTGTATTGATCGTTAATAATTGTATTTTTTACTTGTTTATTGATAACTCATATAGGATTGTTTTCTTTCAAAAAAAAAGTTCAATATTATAAATAAATCCATAGAATAAATTAATTTACATAGAATTTCAAAGTAAAAACAAAAATGTTCAAGTTTATTTTTTTTCTTTTTTCTTGAAATTTTATTAAATTTCAGTTTTTTATCGTTCATAAGTGTTTGTAAAAAATAAATTTTTAGAAAAAAAAGCAAGAAACTTTTACAAAAGAAGACATAACTAACTAAATACCATTACAAAAAGAAAATGACTCATTTCTTTTTCGTCTTTCCTTCATATTAATAAAACCCGCAGCTGTCATCTTTCTTTTTTTTGTATTGAAACTATTCAATAGCATCAACTAACAATTAGTAAAAAAAAATATATTCATTTTATATTGACGATTATAACTATTAAGTACAAAAATTTATTTTGAGGAATTTCATATGAAAATAATAGAAACTATGTCAAGCATTAGTAAGTTATTCTTTTTGCATTGAAGGTTATAGAAATTAGAGAAGACAGCATTGAGTATGAAATGAAAAAGAAATCTCGAGGTTATTCATTCTTCTCTATCCTTTAATGGGAATATTGTGTACTAAGGTCTCTGTTCTTTATTTTACTTTCGTATTATTTATAGACACCATGTATTAATCATTACCTATACATTTATAAGCTGTATGCAATACATTTGCATATAGTCTTACAATTTATCATTCACGTGTTCTGTTTTTCTTTGTGTCCATAAAAAAGAGAGAAAATGCATTTGTGTCGTTCTCCATTTTGCGTTCATATCATTTGGAATTTTTACTTATTGTTCATGCTTTTTCTTTTCAATCTACCTGAAATATTTGCATTTTTCGGTCATCAAGTGTTTCAATAATAATGTTTCTTTCTTCTGTTTATTTTGGTAAAAGAAAATGTCATCCAAGTTACTTTAATGATGATTATCATCATTCTATTTTCTTTCTTTCTCATTCAAGAACTTGAACTGTTTATGCAACAATTTCAAATCAATTCTTAGAATCATTTTATATTATAGATTGATCAATAAAGAATAACGAAACAAAAGAAATTATTTCAAATGCAAATATATTTAAATCGATTAATTCAAAATCAATATTTTCAATTAATATTACATTTAATATCTCCTTTAGTCGACATTCTATTATTCATGTTTACGATTATTTTTCATATTATTAAACGTATATGTTTCGAAGTATATCTTTTATTTACACGACTTCCACCTACACAAGCATGGATGGACCTACGAGAACAAGAACTAGTAGTGAAATATATTCAGAAGTTAAAACGAGAACGAAGGTAATATGAAACGTTATAATTAGTCAGCATACAAATCATGCATTTGATGAATTATAAATCCTTTCATGCAACAGAAGATTCGAAGTTTCTTATTATGTTTAAGAATAGAAATTTTCCATTAGACTCTCCTGTTTGTTATGACTCATTTATTTTCATAGGTTTTTGACTAAAAGAGTTTTTCAAAAAAAATCAAAGAAATTTTTCAGATCAAAAGCCTGAAAACTCGACATCACATATATGTCCTAGACAAAAAACGAACTTTAAGTTAAATTAAACTTAGACAGAATTTGTTTACGAAATAATTTTCTTTTATTTAAAAATAAATTTCAATGTTTTTGCTTACATTAAGCAAATATGTAACACATTATTGTTTGTTTTTAAATACACAGCGTATTCATTTTCACTTATTCATATTGTAATGGATGTACCAATGACTTCTTCTATGTCGATATTGAAAAATGATTTTCGAAAGTATTTTTTAGGAACAAGTCAATCAATATTTTTAATTTTTGGAACTTTAAATACAAAGAAAAGACATTATAGGAAATACACAAGCTGAACGTCTATGAATTAATCGTAAATTTCAAGACAAATGAATATCGATAAAAAAAATGCTTTTCAAAAAGCTTAAGTTAAAAGATTCTTTCTTTTTATTATGGTTAGAGCTTGCTCAGATAAATTGAATTTCGACTGAAAACATTTGCAAACTCTACTACTTCCTTCGATTCGGCTACACTTCAATTAAAGTTGCACATAACTTAATATAAATATATAAGATCAGTTCTTTATTCTCATCTTTTTCGATTGTTTTTTTTTTAAAATCCTTCAGAAACTTTGTTTAATTTTGCCTCAATCTTAACTTTGCTTGATAAATATCAATTTTGCGAGAAATGACTTAATCAAGAGAGGTTTTTACTGCTTTTAATAACATGAAAGAGATTACAAAAAATAGTTTTTGCACGATTTTAAATCGGTTTTTATTAAAAGAATCAGAATAATCGATGAAATTTTAATGTTTTTTTTGAATATTTTTTCATTATAATAGATTAGCAATCAATTATTAATCGAGCGAATATGAATGATTTTAGTCGACAAATAATTGATTTTCTTGTGTTTTTTATAAAAAACTTTTCTTATATGGGTATTGCAGAAAGAAATTGTTTCTTCTCTTTTGTTCTTATTAAGAATACTATTGGATTTGATTTCGGAACGAGACGAAATCAATTTTAAGCTTATTTCCTGTGTTCCTGAAATTGTTTGAGGAAAACGAATATGTCAGAAAGATTTGAATGCAGGAAAGAGTATTTCATACATGATCAGTGGCGTACTCAGAAATTTTTCAAGGGGGGGGGCCCAACTTCGTAAGGGGGGGGGGGGGCCCGCCATGGCACAAAAAATTTTTTATCACGCGAAAATATTTTTTCCTGTACCCCCCTTCCGGGCTTTTTCGTCTCAAGGG